GGTTACCACTAAGAAGTAGCAATGAAGGATAACTTTTTTTTATGTATTTATGTTTGGATTTTTTATAACCAGCAGCTGTTTATTTTGGAATTAAAATTTTTAATGCTTGTTATTTGTGTTAAAAAATAATAATAATATACTACATATATGAAAGTTGCTAAGGGAATAGATCTTAAAATTTCTCATGATAAAAATATTGCAACAATGAATAATGATGGATGTTAACTATTATGGTGATAATTTTGCAATATGTACAGATATTGAATCATTGCAATGTATAACTAAAACTATAAAGTGTTATATGTTAATTATGTCTCAATAAAATATGTAAATAAATTAGCTTAGCACCCATTTCAATTAATAAAAGAAGAGAGAGACTTCCAGTCAAAGAAAGCAAAGTAGTAAAAATATCTTTACTCTTTTTTCTTATACTAGGTTGCTTGGTAATGGTGTAGGGAAGGCAACAGATAAGGCGTGGAAAGGCAAGAATAAAACATAGGATAATGTTTAGCTACAATGAAAGTTTCAGCAACCATACATACCAAACACTGCAGTGTGGATAGTTACTAGGAATTATGCTGGCAAACTGGACCGTAAGCATGACACCAAAGTGATATATATGGTCCTGGATATCATATCTAATGATTTTTTAAATTGGAATAAAATCTGGAATTATAGATGGACCTTAAAAAAAGCAAGGAATGTTCATATAAAGACCCGTTAAGCACTACAGAATGGTAGAGAAATTGAGGTAAAGGCGATCTCATACAGATATCCCAATTCTTCTTTTTAAGGTCTGTCATGTTGTCCAACAAAATGTAAGGAAGCGAACAGAGGGAAAGTGGCAGTGACCACAAGGTTTCAGAGAACATGATAGGGCTTTCCTGAGAGCCATGCAACCTCCGAAACACCAAGAATTGAGGGCCAGCAGAATAAATGATCTGATGAGAGATTTTCTAAGGCAAAAAATCCTAGTGAAGAATGCTAGATTTCCTGCTTCTAACCCTGCTTGCTCTGTTGTTCAGGGTAGTTCACTCCATTTAAAGTTAATCAGAAAGGGCCCAATGGGACTCATTCTCTACCCCTCTCATTACTATAGCCCCCTCTACACACCAGTTCCTTTCTTACTTACTGGTTTTGTTCAAGCATTCACAGTCTGACTCCGAAAAAGATGAATTTATCTCCAGTTTTATGTTTAGATTCAATTCATCTATTCCAGTCACACCAAATTCCCCTGGTGACTGGCATTGATTGGATTGGGCACACAAGCTGAGCTGATCCAAACAAACCTAAAGGGAGACTTTCAATATAAATTCTCAATGCCCTTAATATGCACTCAGCAAATAATTATTGAATGTATATAAGTCCTTATTTCCACTGGTAGTCATCTTATAACTATGGAGGAGAAATAGCCTTAGGATAAAGCCAACACTGAGGTATGGTAGAATAAAAACCTAGAAAGAACCTAGGTCACTGAGGCTCTGATTCCACCAGGTCTAGAGTTCACCCTACCTCTGAACTGCCATTTATGTGAGATAAATGTCCTTAATGTTTTAATCAGTTTCAGCTGGTGTTTTCTATTAATTTTTAGCTTAAAGATACATAAGCAAAAGGCAGCTAAATAACAAACAAGAGAAACGAATCAAAGAAACATAGAAGGATTATGATCTCTCTAAGAAGTAACCCTGAAATACCTGCAAGTATTCATAGATAATAGAAGTAAACTAGCAGAGCTCAGGAACACTACAGAGCTAAAAGTTTTATTATAAGCAACAAATAGCATAATAGCAATTCAATACTCAGCCAGGGAGATAATAGATAGATTTGGGAAAAATAATGGAAAATAGAATAGGATATAGAAATGATTCAAGGAAAAGGGTATAGAAGCGAAATGACATAGAAAAAAATTGCAAATGTGAAGAACATGTTTCAAATTGGATAGAAAAACATTAAACTAAATAACAGAAAATTAAATGACGTAACAGCTTGATGAAGAGTATCCTTTTGATCAGCAGTGACCATGGAAAAATGGATTTAGAGTACTATCACCACCATGTGTTCTTGTACAATTTTCTAATTTCAATGATAAAGTGTTCATATGGATATCTAAGCCATAAAAATATGTCATAAATGGTGTTGGGCCTCTACCTTTTCCATAGTGTCTTTAATACTAAAAGGTAGCATATCAAGAACTATTTAGTTCTGAGGGAAACAAAGAGTGTAACCCAGGAATTTATACAAAGTTATGCTTACAGTATAAAAACACCACATAGAAGTATACATACACCCTGGTCCTTACTTAAAAAATGCTACCGTATGACCAAGTCAACTAAAAGAAGAATCAAAATTAAACAATAAGGAATATAGAAACTAGCAATAGGGTTGTGATGGACTTTGGATCTAATTAATTAGAACTTAGATTAAATAATTGAATTTTGAGTATTGAACAGAATGAAAATGTTATAATCTTTGGCAATCTTAATACTAAAATTAAAAAAAAAAGTTAAGATGAGGGAGAGAACATAAGAATAATTACAGGAAAGCCCATTTGTCCTCATTTACAATTAAGAATCTTAAGTATTCTTCTGTAGTTAAATTATTGGGTTGGCCAAAAAATCCATATTTTTTTTCCATAAAATAAGAGACACATTTTTCGTTTTCACCAATAATTTTATTGATTTGAATATTTTGAATATGTCAACTATCTCCCACATGGACCAACATTGTCTTGATTTGATGACTATCAATTTCAACTGGTCTACGCTACCATGGAACATTGTCCAGCAAGAAATCTCCAGCATGAAAATTCGCAAACCACTTTTGACATGTTCAATCAATGATAGCACCTTCTCCATACCTTTTTTGTGTTTCAGTTTTGTTTTTACCTTTCTTGAAATAATAAAGCATAATATGCTGAAAATGTTGCATATATTTTCTTTCATCTTCAATACTAAAATGGCTACACAAAAATTCAATAATTTTGATAAGTATTTTTTAAATGCACACTGATATGACAACTGTCGTAATACAGTCTAACAAAATTATTTTGAGTGAAGTTAAAGACAACTAATTGCTACTAGGGCCATCTTACGAGGGGCAGGGGGAATGAACTTTTTGGCAAAACCAGTATGTCATTGTAAAAAAGAAAACTCCCAAATTTAAAGTATTTAAAAATTGTTTTCTTAATTTAAGAGAAATCTTTTAGGAGTTAATATTATTGGTGAAGAAGCACATATCTGAAATTTAGCATTTCTTTTATTTTAAAAGGGCATGTATTATATAACCCTGTGTCTTTCCATCTACATAGAGAAATATATAAAATTATATTTAAAAATGTTAATTACTATGAATATTTTGGGGTATTGGATGATTTTTACATTTTTCTAATTTTATGTTTTATATATTACATGACTGTCTTGGATTGAATATGCATCACTTGTAAAAAACACAAAAGTGATCTTCAATAAGTGATTCTTGTCTTTTGAAGATAAATGAAAAAGTACAATAGCAAAAGTATGCATGTATTAGGAAAATAGTAAACTGACAGTCAAAACTCTAAGATATTGTTCTTTCTCATATTTTAAGCAAAAATTAAAACTGGCAGGTTAAATTACTAGCTAATGACATATTAAATTAAATAGAAAGTACCTGTCACAGAAAATTGAGACAGAAACTCTAGGTGAATAATCATCGCAGTTCTGAGCACAATCAAATCCCCTACTTACTTCCTATTTTAAGCAAATCAGTGTGGCTGCTCAAGAGAAGAAAATATTTTGCACTGCTATGAATAAGCATGATAGACAAAAAATAATAATAATAATAGCCCATATTTTTCCAAAGAGATATGAGCCCTGAATTAGGAGAACAATTAATTTCCAAAGAAATAATTTTTCAAGGTATATCACATTACTTTCTTATCTGAACTGACTTTAGTCATCTCTGTATTCCCTGGTCTTGGCACAAAGCCATATTCCAAGGATATATGTAGGTTAAAAAAAAAAAAGCAATAAGGCTGGCTCATGATCTCTTGGGTATTATATTCTTCCCAACAAAGAAGATGCCTTGCATTAGGTTATCTACTGAGCTCTGAAGAGCAGGGAGAAAAGGATAGGAGGAGCCCACTTCCATAGAAGTGTTCTTTCAACAGATATTTACTGATCACTTACTATGTGCTAGGCATTCTGCTAGATTCCAGGAATACCAGTGGAGAACAAAATTTAGTCTGGGAGAAAAGACAGATACAAAACAAATAATCACACAAATGAAGAAGTAATTTCAAAGCATAGTAAGTGTCATAAAGGGTGCTGTAAGAGAAAAAGGAGAAAAGAAGAAAAGGGAGTATGACAGGGGGCTCTGATTTGGATAAAGTTAAAATTTGATCATTGGATTGTTTTATGTTGGTTGATTAAGGTTATGTGATTGGTTATATTGGGTTGATTAGAGAAGGCCTTTTTGAGGAAACAACATAATACTGAAGCTAAGAAGTGATAAGTTAGACATTAGCCAGATAAATCAGGGCAAAATAAACAGCACCCTGAGTGAGGAAATGGCCTGGTACTTCAGAGAAACAGAAGGCTGACAAGGCTGAATGCCCCTGAGTGAGGATGTAATGCCAGCAAGTGGAGTCCTACCATTGATGAGCTTGTGGCCCACCCTAAAAGTTTTGAATTTCATCTAAAATGTTCTCAATGACATGATAAGTATGAGAAAGAGCCAGACAGTGGAAGAGGCACCTTGAATGATTAAGGATGGCAAAAGGGGAAAAGCACCTGCACTAAAAAGAAATGAGAGAAAAGCAGACAAACTTGACCCATTAGTGATTTTGCTAAGCGGTTTACTTAGAAAGATTTCCATACTGTTTTGCTATTAAGTGTGTTATTCCATTATCTTCCCAAATATAAGCCCAAAAACAAGAATTGATGTCATTTATGGAGTTATACTAAGTTTCCTTATTTAGAAAATAAAAGTAATATCTCTTTTCATGTCTCTCATTCTTGCAGCCCACCTTTCTCAGGGCCAGATCCAATGAAAACTTATAACATCATATTGAGAGGGATTGACATGATAGAATTTCCAAAGAAGATTGCCAAAAATGCTGCTAATTTAATTAAAAAACTATGCAGGTAAGCATTTCAACCACATTATTTTTGAAAAGTGTATAATATTAAAATTTAGATTTTTTATCAATTATTTTGTTTTTAGGGACAATCCATCAGAAAGATTAGGGAATTTGAAAAATGGAGTGAAAGATATTCAGAAGCACAAGTAAGTAGTCTTTCCTTATAATTTTAAGTTGAGAAGACCTGAAAGCATTTCTCTAGACTGATGTTTTTTAAAGTTAGTCATTGTATAATGGATACAATTAGCCACAAGAAATGTATATTTAATTCTGGTATTATATTCCCTATGAGACTATTAAAAACAAAAGTTCTCCATCATATCATGCCTAGTTCCTAGACTAAAACCAAAATATATTTCTGCAACCACTTTCTGTTTAGATAGCATGACAAAGAAAAAAAATAGTATATAGCCTCCAAAAAAAAAAGAGCATCTTAAATATCAGACTTTATGCATGTTGATAGATGTCTAGAGCTAACCTAAGATCAAACTGTTTTTTTTTCTATTTACCTGTTTCTGTAACACTCCCAGGAAATTCACTTCCATACCAGAGGAACTTATTTACCAAAATACCTAGGACTATCTAAGAGGTCTGCTAAGAGTTTGGTATAAGCATTTGATAATGGTGAATTCTTTCAAAGATAAAAACACAACAAAAATGAACCAAATGAACAAAAAAAAAACCCTTTGTGTTATTTGGTCAACATTTTTACAGAAAAGCTATACACAAAATACATACACTGTATTAAAAAAAGAAAAAAGGGAGGAAAATGAGACATGTAGAAACCAATACAGTGACGTGAAAGGTTGATTAACTAAGCTTGCCTATTGAATCAGTGGCAAAGATGGGAAGATAATTTTCTGTCCTGACTTTTCACGCATAATTCTACCTCCTTAAAAAAAAAATTTTGTAAGACACAGGGCCAAGTATGTTATGACATTTTTTAAGTTATAATGATAGCGTAGGGACAAGGTCATGCAGATATTATGACAAATTACTAGACTAAAAAGGAGTTGCTTTCTAACTGGTATTTAAAGATTTGACAAATGGATTTTTAAAAATCTGTTTAAATGATGCATTCCAAAAAATCTAATTTTTAAAAATCTGAAATTAGGTAGAAAATATTTTTCTCACATTGAAGATGTTTGCCTATTTTTCATCAGTCATGGGCATCACAATGTTTCACTGAGAAGGCTTTAGCTGAGGTAAAATGCTTTTAACTCTTTTTTTTTCCCTTCCTAGATGGTTTGAGGGCTTTAACTGGGAAGGCTTAAGAAAAGGCACCTTGACACCTCCAATAATACCAAGTGTAAGTAGATTTTCCATGATATACATGAAAGTGTTTGTCAGTTATTTTTAAAGTTTTATTCTATGGTCAGATAAAATAAACAATAGAAGTACCATATTAAAATAATTACATCTAAAATCCAAGCTTAAAAACAGATAAGCTAGGGGATGGTTTTTATATGTACATGTATATGTATTTTACTGTTACCCTTTTTAACTATTCATTCTAATTTGTTTCTTTTATTTGTGAATAAAAGTTGACTTTTGGTATGGTAAATGTTAAGGGTATAATGAATCTCCTTCAACCAGGGTTTTTTTCCCATAATATATAAACTTTATACATCATTATCCAAGAATAAGATTAATTAATTAGTCATATTCATGAATTATTAGAAATATGTATATTTTAAATTTCTTCACATGTGTGTTTTCTCTACATAAGATACAGTACATATGTGAGTATACTTGAGGGAGTTAGAATAATGTATGTTACTTTATGTTTATGATTTCAGTTTACTTTCTATCTTGCTCTGTCCCCAAGAGCCTAACCATAACAGCCACATCAGAGCATTCCTCTGGTTTCTGGTAGCGTTCGGTCAGTATACCAGCAATCATTTTCAACAGCTATGGATTCCTGGCCAATATCGTTTGATTCATGCCCCCACATAATTCCCCCTCCCTTGTTACCGTATTACTCCTCCCTCCCCATTTCCAAACCATACAACAAAGCCACAATATTCAAAATAATATATTTTTGGCAGAAAAATAGACATGTAGAAAAATGGAACAGCTCAGAGATAAACCCACGCATATATGGCCAACTAACTTTCAATAAAGTGTCCAAAACATACACTGGAGAAAGGAAAGCCTCTTCAATAAGTAGCTGTGGGAAAATTAGAAAGCCATGTACAAAAGAATCAAACTGGAGTTATCTGATACCGTACACAAAAAATAACTAATAATGGATTAAAGGCTTGAATATAAGACCTAAAACAATAAAATACGTAGAAGAAAACACAGGTACTAAACTATGGACCTTGGTTTCAAAGCGTTTTTTTTTGAACTGGACCCCAAAAGCAAGAGAAATAAAAGCAAAAATATAAATCGAATGCTACTAAATCAAACTAAAATCTTCTGCACAGCAAAAGAAACCATCAACAAAGTGAAAGGGCAACCAACCAAATGGAAGAAGGTATTTGCAAATGATACCTCTGATAAGAGTCCAATATCCACAACATATAAAGAACTCATACAACTCAACAACAATTTTAAAAAAAACAACAAAAAATAGGCAGAAGACCTGAACACTTTTCCCAAGAAGACAATACATGTGGTCAATAGATATATCAAAAGATGCTCAACTTCACTAGGTATAAGGAAAATGCAAATCAAAGTAACAATAAGATACCCTATCATACCTGCTAAAATGACTATTATGGCTGTATCAACAAGACAAGAAATAACAAGTGTTGGAGAAGATGTGGAGAAAAGGGAACCCTGACACACTACCAGTGGGAATGTAAATTGGTGTAGCTTCTATGGAAAACAGTATGCAGGTTCCTCAAAAAATTAAGAATAGAGCAACTGTATGACCCAGCAATCCGTCTTCTGTGTGTCTACCCCTCAAATTTTGAAAACACTTATTCATAAAGATATATATATACACTTATGTTTATTGCAGCATTATTCACATTAGCCCAGGCATGAAACAACTTGAGTATTCTTCAAAGGATGATTAGATAAAAAAGATGTTTAAATCCAATTAAAAAATGGGTAAAGGACCTGGGCAGACATTTTTCCAAGGAAGAGATACAGAGGGCTCAGAGACATTTGAAAGGATGCTCAGCATCACTAGTCATCAGAGAAATGAAAATTAAAACCACAATGAGATACCACCTCACACCGGTCAGAATGCCCATCATAAACAGATCAACAAACAACAGGTGCTGGCGAGGCTGTGGAGAAAAGGGAACCCTAGTACACTGTTGGTGGGAATGTAGACTGGTGCAGTCACTATGGAAAACAGTGTGGAATTTCCTCAAAAAGCTTAAAATGGAACTGCGTTTTGACCCAGCAATTCCACTGCTGGGATTATACCCTAGGAATCCCAAAACACCAATTCAAAAGAACCTATGCACCCCAATGTTCATAGCAGCACAATTTACAATAGCTAAATATTGGAAGCAACCTAAACGCCCATCAGTAGATAAGTGGATCAAAAAACAATGGTACATTTATACAATGGAATACTACGTGGCAGAAAGAAAAAAAGAACTACTACCCTTCCTGACAGCATGCATGGAACTGGAGAGCATTATGCTAAGCGAAATAAGCCAGGGGGGGAAAGACAAATACCATGTGATCTCACCTATAAGTGGAACCTAACCAACAAAACAAAGATGAAAGGAAAATATGACCAGCAACATTGAAAGAAAAAAGAAACCAACAGAGTCAAGAGAGAAGGAGGGAGGGGTGGGTGATGAAAGGGAAGGGAAGGGGAGGGAAAGGAAAGGTCAAGTCAAGGAATAAATATTAAGGACTCATGGAAAAAGCCAAAGTAGGGAAGGATTGAGGGAGGGAGGTAGGGGAGGGGAAAATGATGATAGGAAGGTGGAGACAAATGTATTTGAACAAAAAATAAAAGAATAAATAAAAAATTTAAAAATTGCTATATTAAACAAGAAGAGATTTAAAAAAAAAGATGTTTACATATATACAATGGAATAGTACTCAGCCATAAAAAAAATGATAAAGTACTGTCGCCATATTACTTTGAGACACTCCCAGACACAACTGTGTTCTTCTATCCTTTCATCAGGCTCTAAAACAAAAAACTCTCTTAACACATCAAAATTTTTGCTAAGTAGCTAGTCCACTAAGGGGACTAAGCATTTATACTATATTAACTTGAAATCTATTTTAGTTGATGGCATTTTTATTTTTATTCAATACTGGATATGTCTAATAAAATGTGCTAGATCTTAACTAAGGGGAGAGGCCTGCTTTGTGGTCCTGAGCCCTTCATTTATATATGTTCTTCTGGGAGTAATTCAAGGCTGTTCTGTATACAGAAACATTTCCCTAATTCTAAGATTTATTTCTGTGCTAATGTTTATTCACAAACACAAACAAAACAAAAAAGCCATTACCATGTCCTACATTATAGATGCTAATTGCATTCATAAAGTTCTGTTTTTAGAAGAGTAGAATGAGGAATTTGGAGAAATAAATATTAAGCCTAAATTATCCTAAACTAAATGTATCAAGTGGTCTCCTTTTATGCAACAGTAACATTAAATGGGGAGCCATATATCTGTAAATGGTTTTAAATGTTAGAATAGGAGGGAAACTAAAGTGTGTTTCCTCACTGATTTAATCAATGCTCTATAGACTGAACTTTACCCAGTAAATTTTGTCTTGAGTTGAGAAATGGCTTATTATTGTAGTTGGAATAAATACACAAAATCCTTCAGATGGCCTACAAGGCTCTGTATTCGCTGACTCCTGCCTATTTCTCCTATTCATCATTCTGCCCCTCTTCTCTCCTATACAGCGTCAGTGTTGGCCTCTTTTGATCACTTCCCAGCATGGAGCTGTCTCTCACTTCAGGACCTTTGCGTGTGCTATTCCCTCTTTATTGAACTCATTGATTCTTCAGTTTAAAATAACACTTTTTCAAAGAGACATACCATGATGATGCTTATTTTCTCATGGCCCCCCCTTTTTTTTATAGCACTAACCAACCTATAAAATAAATAATCACAAAAATCTATAGATGACTATAATCACACAGTTTATTCCTTACTAGAGTATAATCTCCATGAAGGCAAGAACCATATTTCTTTTTTGTCACCACTATTACCCCCAACATAAAAAAAGCACAAAACCCGATACATAGTAGACACTCAAAAAAGTCATTTGATTAAAGAATAAATAAAGAATGACATTTTAAAATCTATCATGGGATTTTACTAAAGAATCACACGTTTTTATGATTCCTTCTCTCATTTCTAGGTTGCATCACCCACAGACACAAGCAATTTTGACAGTTTCCCTGAGGACAATGATGAACCACCACCTGATGACAACTCAGGATGGGACATAGACTTCTAATGTATTTCTCTTACCTGCTTCTGCCTTGCTGAAGACAGCTTTTTCTGAGACACAGCTGCCAGCAAACCTGAGGGAAAGAGAGAAGATTAGTGCTCGGGGTCACCATGATGCCTTTGATCGATGCTGCTCCAGTAACTACAGTGGCATTAGGACTTATTGCTTAGATGACAATAGTGCTCTTTTTACATGTTTTCTGTTTGAACCTAAAAATAGCAGTTGACATGGTGGTCCTGAAGCAAAGCCTTTCACCAGTAAAGAGATGTTTTCTATTGTTGCAATGATCTAGCTTCGCTCTGAATATAATTTGAAAGACAGTAAGAAACACTTCAATCTAGTAAGAGAGTCTATACCTTGCTAGAATGATCAAAAAGATCAAAAAATAATATATTGGGTACGATAGATTTCTATGGTACAAAAACTGGGCTCTTCCCTTTCTTCAAGTGAGGGGTGGAGGATCTGTTACCGCAGGCCGGTGTATATACCATATAAAAAGAGGACCACACATCTGTTGGTCACTGAGTTCATGTCAAACCAGTGTTCGAAGTTTCATGATTTCATTTCCCAGCAGTGCTGATGACAAGACTGAATGTTACCTTTCCTTTCTGAGAGATTTAAAAAATTGATATGTTAAAAGCACAACTGCTATGGATTCTGCTGAGAAATCCCATAGCAGGTATATATGCATTTTCACAGAGGATTGAAAAACACCCCCAACATGCATGATATTTGTTTGTTTCTTTTTGATAAATTGGCATGACAGAGTGGAAAAAAGCGATTCACAACCATTTCATATTTTTAAAAATATTGTGCTTAAAGATGGTCCTGGAAATAAGTGACTAGCAGCCAATTGGTTTTTATTTATTACCTAACACACCCTCAAAGTGAGGCTTAAAATATTCCCTTTTATAGAAATAAACCCTTGGGGTCAGGGTGGGGTGGGATGGAGAGGGATCAAGATTCATCCAAAAATAAAAATTAAAAACTATATAGGTGCTATGTATATCTTTCATCTGTAAATGTCAGTGTCTGAACAGACAAGAAAAATCTAATCACCACATGTGTAGCCAGAGACTCAAGCATTTTCACTAAATTTATCAAACCAAACTCCTGTCAAATTTCACATATACGACATAGCCTAGAGTTGAGAGAGGAAGGTGATTAAAAACCTGTTTGAACTAGCTTCTTGTCTTAGGCCTGAACCAAAAAAAGAAAAAAAAAGAAAAGAAAAAAAGAAAGAAGAAGAAAGAATAATGAAAATAGAAAGAAAAGGGAAGGAAGGAAAGAAGAAAGAAAGAAAGAAAAGAAAGAAAGAAAAGAAAGAAAGAAAGAAAGAAAGAAAGAAAGAAAGAAAGAAAGAAAGAAAGAAAGAAAGAAAGAAAGAAAAGAAAGAAAGAAAGAGAAAGAAAGAAATCATTGAGATTCATTGATTCTACAGATGAGAAAACTTACTAATGTGAGGTCAAGGAGCAAGATAAGAATTTGGCCAGGTATTATCTTGTCATGAATTAGCTGATATGAGTCCATGTGCTTGTGAAAGTAGGAAGGAAATAGAGAAGAAAACAGGAACCTGATTTCTTAAAAATAAAATTATCTAAATAGAACAAAAATATTACAATTCTGAAATATCATGCTACCTAGAAAAGACTGGATTTGAAAATGTCAAACTGATTTAACTTTCTCACATGGAGAAAAGTCAGCAATTTAAACTGAGTCCTTTGTCGGAAGGCCAGTTGACTATTAGCTATCATAAGTAGCAGAACCATTGAGAGCTTTTTTGGAAATAGCATTACATCTACTTAGACAAATGCATAAACTTACAAGCTCTCATCCTGATTTGGAACTGTGTATGTAATTTGGTGTATTAAATAGGGGGTTGCATATTTCCAATAGAGTGTTTTTAAAAGTCAAGTAAATATAGATATTTCTGCAAAAAAAGAAAAAAATGACCACCTAGATCTTTTACTGTATCCAAGAAGGCATATGATATTATTTTTGTTTGAATTTTTCATTACTAAGTCTCCTTTATAATATCTCTTATTAAAATATAATCTAAGAAACATTTGGAGAATAAAAGTATTAAGGACATATTATATATAATTAGAATACAATTAAATTAAAAGTTTGTTTCTAAGATATTATTATTTTTGTGTTATGGAGTTTTTCTCTCCCTTATAAACAGTTTCTCAATACCAATCTATTCCCCAAGATATCCACTTCCTTCTACAGATTTGGGAATATAAAATTAAATATATCAACCTAAAATCCAGCTACAAATGCTATTTCAGAAGTCTTATATTGCTTTTAATTGGCTTTTTAAATATATAACTTTGACATTATAGTTAATGTTCAGTGACTTTTGTTAGAAGAAAGAGTGGGTTAGGCATGCTAAATGTTTGCTAGAATATTAAATTTACCTAGATATTAAGTAAAAGAATCTGCTCCTGAAACTTTTCAAACATCCCAATAGCCCCAGAGATTAGCACTTACTATGGATTTCGGAACTGCGGTTCAAGTCTAAGACGACCAATATGTACAAGTTCTATGGAGAAGGAAGAAGTAGTACTCAGCACAATGTACCTGTAGGTCATTTCTCCCACTTGTTACTGCATCTTTGTTAATTTTATTTGTGGAATTGCATTAGGATGTCTAAAGCAATCACCAAATAAATGAAAGTTAAGTATACCATCCAAGAATTACTAACAGAGAACATTCATTTAAGTTTCCACATTGAATTTTAAGGATTTAAATCTTGTCTCAATTAGGGCTAAAATTCGTGGTCAGCTTCATAAAGTTTGTCTCTCTTTAGTTCTGAATTTTTCATGCCCCCTCTATTTTCCTACACTAAGAACATCTGGATAAGTGTCACTTTTCTTAGTCACAACCTGTTTGATTTGTTAACTTTCTTGTTAGTACTTTAAGTACGGGAAATAAGGGCTTTCTGTGTGTCTTGACTCACAGGAAAACTGAAAACTGCCAAGGTAAGGAACATCGTAATAGTGTGTATGAGATAGACTGAATATATTAGAAAAAATAATTTCTAGAAAATTGCTATAAATAATGTTTATGTTTGTACCTCCTTTGTTATTAATATATGAATCAGATCCATATGGCATTTAAAACATTTATTTTGATTATTTTCTTTACAAGTTATAATTTTTACTTAAAATGATGGGATATGCATGTGAACTACACATGTATAATATATAAATTCAACCCTTGAATTTTCTTGTTTCATTTCTAAATGACTGATGGTAAAGTTAAATTGAAGGAAGTCAGCTACCAAATTGAAATTAAGGATATTAGAACTGATTTCCTACAGTAAAGGTGATCTGTGCATTATCCATAACAATCTTTCTTTCACAATAGGACCACAGACAAATATTTATGTAAATAGATATTTTTGTGTGATATTTTGTGGTACATATAACTTCTTTTAGTGTTTCACAGCATTATTATTTCATTTTATTTGTACTGAATAATGTTTTTAGGTCTAAGTAGACTTGAATTAATGTCATAATTGTCAGTATTATTGAAAATTACGTCAACTGTACTGTTATTCATCTGTCCCATAGTTTAGAACATGACCTGGCTATCTGGCATTGTTGCAAGTGCCTTAAATTCATGGCATCCTATTAAAAAAAACAAATTTGGTGTTATGCTGCATGACAAAGACAAACACACCTCAAAATGTTGTCCTTTCTTAGCTTGCTGCGTTTTACAGTTCTTTCGGCAAACAATTTATAAGCCTTTATTATATAATATTGATGAATTACAGAAATGATGAAGTTGTTCTCTTATTTCTGTTAAATGTACCAGAGCTGTGTATCTGTTAATGAGATACAGCGTCATTTCTGTGAAATGTATAAATGTATGTGCAGGTCAAATTAATATATGACATACTATCAGTCTGTATACAGGTATTCCTGTTTTGCTAAGCTGTGCAGATTCAGTTTAAAAAATTAGTACTGTCGAGTTCTAATAGTTTTCATTTTATAGACTCTGTTAACAATGGTCCAACTCAAAAGGAAAATTAGAAAATGATTGCTAACCAAACCTTGTTATGAAACCAATGACGAAAAAGTACCTTGGTGCACCACTCAACAAAACAGGATGCTTTCTCTGAGTTCTTGTATATGCAAATCATTTCTGAGGCAAGTTTTCAACAGACCTAGAAAGCTACGCATTGAAAGTGTGTTTTTAGCCCTGCTCTCTATCTGCCCCTGCATCAACTGACAGAGCTCTGAGATCTTGACAATGACTCAGAGGTTTGGGCTTTTCAAGAAAAGGGCCATTTCTTTGAGCATCATTTATCAAGTTTATTTCAATGTATGATGTTTTTACAACTGGTCAGTTCTTTTGTACTCTTACAGCTATGGTTATTTGACTGTCCTCTTACAATTTGTTCTACATGAAAGAGTTCTTTGTCAGTCAGAATGCGACAACTGTCATCAAATGGTCATTGACCACTTGCACTCTTTTGATGTAGATTAAAAACTTTTTCATAAACTTAACCTGCTTTGATTTGCTCTGTATTTTTCCTGCAGCTGTAATTGCTGAGTGCCTGTTGTACACTTTATAGAATTGAAATAAAAAATAATTACTTTTGAACTTAGTTGATGTTTAATTCCAGACAAGATTCCAATAGAATTGCTATGTCGCAGAGAATTGAAATACTGTGCAGAGCTATTGAAGACTGTCACTATAACAATGTAGAAAATACTTATGACCAAGTGTCCTCTATCAAGTAATGTGTTATGAGTAGGTCATTCAGTGTGAATAGCAAAGCAAATATAGATCCACACACAAGCCTGAAAATGAGCAGTTTTCTGTACACTACCACCAAACACCTTTTTGGGGCTACCACATGTCAAACTCTGAACTAGACATGCCATCAAAGGGATAATTCTCACATCATGCTAACAGGGAATCATTTCATATGAAAAGCAACTTCATAAATCTTTGTCTTAATGTTTATTCACTTGATCTCTCTGGAAAGCTTCTTATGCATAAAGACTGTAGATTTGGAGAACAATACAATCACAACAAACTTAACTCTCCATGGACATGTTTTCCTACATCCCTCTGTCTCTCACTTCAGTGAATGACACGCATTGAAAACTGGCTGCAACATAAGCATCCCCTTACTCTGACTGCCCTTGTCTTTGACTTATTGACATCGTATTGCCAATGATGGTGAGTTGAAACCCCTTTTGAATGAAAACTAGAAATGTAATCCAGTTAAAGCTCTCAGACAGAGCCAATTAAACAACTTTTAAAAATATGATGTTACTAGGGTGCAGCCAATAATTTCATTTCTCCTGCAAATAGCAGTGAACAAAAGGTTTTTAGTATCTATTTTTGAAATTCTGTGATTTTCATACCCTAGCTATAAGAATGGTCCTCTTTGATCCTGAAAGGTTATGTTTGAATTAATCACACTGTTGGTTGCGGGGAGGAGGCACACACATCCATACTCAGTCGTCAGAGGAGTGGCTGGCAGGGAGGACGATGGTGACAGGGTGGGGATGGCGAGAATATTGTTTGTGTATCTGTGCCACTGTCACATCTTACACATGGTAACTGCAATTGAAATACATTGATGCACATTCATTCAAGTATGACAATAAGAATCAATTATAAATTTGAGATGAATGTATTGATAGTCTCATCATCCAAGTTGATACAATGTTATGCTTTCAGACCTACCCTATGATTCTCAATTATGGCTGAAAATGTGTCCTATGCATCATACGAGTACAGGAGAGACACCACACTAATATTCTTTTCTGAGAGTCTTGTTTATAGTTTTCCTCTATTCCATCCTTTCTCTTTCTAACTCAGAAGGACTATAAATTGATAAATCAGTAATGTTTACCTCTAGTATTTCTGTTTTTTACCCAAGGTGAGACTATGGAAAAAAAAGGCAAATCCATCTGAATGCCAATTAGCAAAGCCAGACAGGTTGAGTCTCAACTTCATGCAAAAAGGAGAGAAAGAGAGAGGAAGGAAGGAAGGGAGGGAGGGAAGGAGGGAGAAAAGGAAGAAAGGAAAGGAAGAGGGAAGAAAAGAACAAGGCATGGCATTCCTAAGAACCCCAAATGTTGACCATAGATTTCATAAAAATTGTTGGATAGGTTTAAGACATATGCTCCAGGCCAGTGTTTCTCAAATATCAATGTCATAAAATGTATGTGGGAAATATGGCAAAAATATAGATTTACAGAATCACCCACAG